ATCAAATTGATAAACAGTGGAAAGGACAGGGATCACAAGTTGACCCTCCTTGAAGCTACTACCAAGGATATTCAGTCGGCTGTGGGCAAGCAAAAGGAGCTGATAGAAGGGCTGGCTTCTGTAACTCAGACTCTGCCAGGTACCCTTGAAGCTATAAAAGAGAACAATGCTACAGAATTCTCGAAAATTGGACTCCTACTTGGTGATCTTGTTGATGCCAAAAAGGGGGAAGATAGCAGAGAACCTGTCCCACCTCCCAGAGAAACAGAAGGTCCAAGCTCCAGAGCCATTAACCCTACTACGTACTTTGAAAGAGCAAGGCAAAAGAGGCTAGCTGCTGGTATTCAAAGACCTCCTCCTCCTCGGTCCAAGAAAGGAAAGAAGACAGCCTCCACTCTCACTCTGGCTCAATGGCTCAACAGTGACCTAGCCAAGCCTGATGCAGCCCAATTCCAAGAAATGAAGAAACACATGACTCCCTATCAAAAGGAGAATCTGATTCTAGATAAAGATGGGCTGATAGTCATAAATCATGGTGGCTCCATGCAAGAAGCAGCAGATTGGTGGCACATGAAAGTGATCCCTGGCAAGGACTTTTCAGAAGCCATCAGAAATTATCTTGATTGCAAGCTTGAACCTGCTTGGTCAGAATATCAGAATCCCAGGAACCTTGCTACAATCAGAGCCAGAATAAATGCTGATCTGAAGGAAATAGAAGCAAAGGAAGCTGAACTTGAAGAGGAAGATATCTAAACTCTATCCTCTTGTTGCTTTAAATATCTTCCATTAATAAGATAACCAGCTTGCCTCTATTTTGCATGGCAATTTCAAATTATTTCTATTTTGCACTCTGACTATTTATGCTCTGATACCTTTTGCTATTTCTTATTTTGATTATTTGTTTAATTGTATCTCACTCTTACTACTTTCCTATGCTAAGTGCCCACCAAGTTTTTTAAATGAAAGTTTATTTTTTTTACTTATTTTCTTTATGGTGAAAGGCACTTCTCTGGAAATAGTTTAAGGGTTTTGGCATCATCAAAAAGGGGGAAATTGTAAGGAATAAATGTAATTAGATTTTGATGATGCTATAGGATTAGAAAGTTAGAGTACCCCCAAATTAGATTTTATGTATTAGAATTTTTAATTGTAAGTATTAGTGTAGTCGACGATCAGAGTTGCTCTACTTTGGATCAGATCAGAAGTGCATCAGAACTGCTCGACCAGACTTGCTCTATGAGAACTGCTCCATCAGAGTTCTCTTACCAGAAGTCCATCAGAGTTGCATCATGAGAGTTGCTGATAAGCCTGGACATCTGATAGCCGATGAGAACTACAGATCAGAAGTACTCATCAGCGGACCTATCAGAGTCAGAGTTCAGTCAGAGATCAGAAGACCATCAGAACTCAACTCATCAGATAGCCATCAGAATCCAACATATCAGAAGAACCTGATCAGAGCTCGACGAACACTTAGAAAATTTCAAGCAACATCCAACAGCTCTGAATCCAACGGGTAAAAACATCCAACGGCTACAAGACTGTGCATGAAAGGAAAGCATTTAATGCACATTAAATGAGCCTGATACGCTGAAGGATTGATTGCAAATGATTGACCAAAGAATCCGGGAAGATATATTATAAAAATAGAAACCTTCCAAAACGGCGGTCAAGTCAACAGTACGCGCATTCAATGCAGTTGTCTCCTCCTCCAACGGGCAGACAACCTCAGTATATAAGCTACTCACCGAAGAACAGGAAAACAAAAAACTTAGCTTTGCTACAACTTTTGCTCACCATAATTCAAGCTCTCTTGAGATTCAAATTCTACAATCTTCAAACAAGACAAGCTTACGTTGGGAAGATTCCAATCTCTATAATCCTTCATCCCCAACAACGAGCAAAGTTCATCCTGTTCTTCAACTCTTCAAAAACTTCATCAAACATCATTTGTGACGAAGCAAGTTGGAGGAAAAACTTTGTTTTTCAAAGGATCTTCTGAAAAGAAGGGCGTCCAAGTAACTGCAGTAGTGAAGTGGTGATACTTCCGGGAAGCTGAGTGAAAGGACCAGCCATCAGGACGTGGAACTGCATCCTGGGTGGCAGCTAGGCTTGAAGAAGGCGTGGAGAACTTCTTAAGTGCTAGGAATTAGCTTTGTAACCGATCTACTTCAAAGCTAGTGGAACAGTGGACTAGAGGAACGCGTTGTTCCTTGAACCACTATAAAAACATCCGGTGTCATTTACATTACTGCAATTTATATTTCTGCACTTAGGATATTAACTGTTTAACTCTAAGACTTGGAATCTGTGTTCAGCAGATCTTGTTCTCAGAGTTATCAGAAAGGCATTTGCCTTAGTGCTTCTGAGGCTACCCGGACAGATCAGAATCCGCTGCCAAGGCCAGTTCTGATATCAGAACCAGCCTCTCTCTGTCACCAGAATCAGACCTTCTCTGATAAGTCATTTTGGACTTAGAGAAAATTTGAAAAACCAATCAGTCTATTCACCCCCCCCCTCTAGACTGATTACCATATTAATCGGGACCAACAACATGCAACTGCGTGACATAGCATTCTGCCCGATCAGCCTTCGATCTCAGCGCGAGGGCGGCAGTATTCAGCCATGAATGCCCCTCGGGAATTCCAACAGGCTTCCCGCAGTCAACGGCGGTTTGCTTGCCTTTCGGTGGAGCCTTCGTCTTCTTCCTTTTCTTCCCCACGGCGACACTGAGGGGTTCCGGATCTAGGGGCCGGGAGGTGCTTGCTTCACCGGCACCACGAAGTGGAAGGACAGCAACTGTGACTTCTTGCCTCTCCTTCTCTTCCTCTTCTTCGGCCACCTGGAGCGCGAGGGCCATTTCTTCATCCTCGGCTACCTGCTCGAACTCCTCTGCCTCCATCTCAGTACGAAGGTTATTTTGGAGCTTCTCGGCGACTGATGAGTCATTATTCACCGATGACTGCTCACTTGAGGACTCCGCCTCGGAAATACTCTCCATCCCCGCCGGAGGCTCCCTCGAGATGTCTTCAGAATCGCTTTGCGATGACATTGTTTCTAACCGAGAGGTGTTTAATTGAAAAGGTTACCTAAAAGTTTGGCCGAGGGATCCTAAGATCTCTAACACTCGATCTAAGGGTAAGGGAGCAAAAAGTGCTAAAGCAATAAGAAACGAGGCAAGAACTGACCTTGTGACTTGGGTTTTGATTAGAAGAAGCACTTTATCTCTCTAGAAATTTTTGCAGAGCTCCGCTATCACTCAGGTTCGCACAAGAGAGAATGAATTTGGCTCGGGGTATATATAGACTTTGGGCCTCGAGAACTGGGCCTCGACTTGAAAGCGCCATCATTACGCGCCTCTCCATCGCCCAATGGGTGGCACCCGCCCCCCATCTGCCAACAACAGAACGCCACGTGGAACCCTCTTCCAACGGCTATATTACAACGACTATATTTCGGCAGCACTGGGAGGCCCTCGAACGACAGCCTCCGGCTTGTCAATGTTACCACCCCTCGGGGGCTCAGCAACTCATTATAACTCCTTCAGCCCGAACTTGCCTTCGGCCTAAAGGAGTGAGGGACTCCAGGATACACCCCTCGGGAGTCACACAGAACAAAAATTCCTCAAATCCACGATTGACGCATACAGCCCCCGGGCAAAACTCCTCAAATCCACGATTGACGCATACAGCCCCCGGGCAAAACATCAAAGGGAAACCCCTCGGGTACATACTTCAGTGTACCCTTCGGCAGCAGCAGTACATCAAAAATTTTCCCAAGACACTCACAGAAATAAAGCAACCTCTCATAACAACACATACGGGCAACACATCTATACTCTTCCTCAGAAAGCCCTCGACATGTGGGGGACTGAGGGAAGCCTTCGGCAATCAGCAGAAGACAAGTTCCCCAGCAAAGGCACCCAGCGAGATGATGAAGCCTCCAGAAGAATCAACACATCTACTCCTTTTCCCTCAAGTACCTTTCGGCAAAAGGAGTGAGGGACTCCTGATGGAGTATATGGCCCAGGAACCCCCGGCCCATAGACTCCTACTTCTCCTACAAAGGTCTATTAAGCCCAGGAAACAACTCAGGCCCAAATACAACGGCCCAAGCCTCAAAAGTAGCTCAGAGTACACACTGGGATGCCTTCGGCCTCCTTGGCCGAAGGCTCCAAAACTCACAGGATAGCCTTCTCTGGCATAAGAAGCTGCTGGGAGAAAACGGGCGAGGACATGAGCCTTCGGCATTCTCACACCCTCGGCACCAGGGGAAGCCCTCGGCTACACAAGGAGCCCTCGGCTACACAAGGAGCCTTCGGCTGAACAAAGAGCCTTCGGCTGAACAAGCTCAATCATCGAAGATTCCTTTTAGAGACAGCCAACCACCGCATTTAATGCCACGTCGCATCCGCCAACCGCATTCAATGCGGGTGACGTACCACTGCCGGTGCCACCAGGCTGATGTGACCCTTCGGCCGTTGGATTACTGACACGTGTCCTCTCATCGCATTTATTGCTGCTATAAATAGCAGCCCATTTCTCCTTGTAAATCATCATCTACATCTCAACTACACACGCTGAGTTCATTTAATAAAATCGACTCTCTCTCCTCCTATTTGCTCTGACTTCTCTCTAAGTTATTCCCGCAATAACCCCTCGGATAAGATACCCCCCGGATAGATTATCCATCAACTGCCGGGTTAAGAATAATTCCCAAAATACTGCTGGGGTTAACCACGGTTAAGGAAAGCCGCCACTTCAAGTGGCGGCTCTTGTGAAGCTCTACAAAAGCCGCCATTTGGAGTGGCGGCTCTTGTGTCGTTGTATAAAAGCCGCCACTTGAAGTGGCGGCTCTTGTTAAACGTACCTGCTGCAGCACCAATTTAAACAACTAAACCTGTAATAACCTATAATAACCACCAATTTAAACAACTAAACCTGTAATAACCTATAATAACCAGATTATGTGCTCATCAGAGACTCACAGTACATTCCAGTAAAAAAAAAACAACCAAACATATGATTTACTAAGAAAACATATACCCGAAACACAAAACGAATCAATGAAACTACATTACAACATACATCCAAAACACAAAACGAATGAATGAAACTTCATATTATGAGACTTTCACAAACGGAATCAGTACACCACAAAATTGAGTATGATCCATAAAAGTTATAATAAATCTGGTGTATCCCAAAATGATTCGATCTGCTAGTGCATACTACAACTTTCACACAATAAGTGAAATACAAATATCATAACTCAACGTGATCATCATCATCATGAAGCTCATGTAGTTGTGCTCGGGGACGTCTGCGCTGGTTACGAGGCTGAAGAACAACTCTATCACGTCGGACTGCCTGAGAAGACCCTGCTGCGGATGTAGATGCAGTGGAATGCTGAGACGCGGCCATATATCCATAATCGACTCGACCCAATACATCAGCACAAAGTGAAACAATGCCTGAACAAGCGTCATGGTATCCCTGTACATCTACCGCCTCATCAAGTATAGCAGTCGCTCTGTCATGGATGCTACGCAAAGCCCGTGTCTGTAATGCAAACATGGTTATTAGTGAAAAACACATGAATAAATATATAAAGATATTTTATTGACTATGTTGTTTACCGTCATATGAAGAGCGACTGAGCTAGGCTGGTAATGATCAGTGGGTAAACGAAAACTGGGAGAGATAAACACTCGTGTGATGGTGTAATACCATGTCATGTAGTCTACAGAAGCTGTGGGGACTAAAGATGGGATCCCGTCCACTATATACGCCGCTCTATCATCCCACATAGTGATATACTGAATATGGCGCATCCCCCAATCTTCAGTGTGCTTCCCCCGTCTATCAATCTTGTGCAAATCCACAGATGTATCACAAGGTCCGGGAGTAACCTGCTGCAACCCAAACTGGCGTAGTACGCGATCAGGAAAGTAATGCTCCACAACATCAAAACATATCAAAGGCACACGTGCTCGCCATATCTGAGTGTGCTCTCGGGCAACAGGAGGCAACAGGCCTAGAATCTCATCAGTGTACGGCATCCACGTAATCTATAATATAAAATTAAGTTATACCATGGTTTATAAAAACATAAAACAAATGACTTACATTTAATGATATACCTGATCATCACACAAGCGATCTAAAGCATCTCGGTAGTATCCTAACCCAGCAGCGGATGACGTGCGCGTGACATGAGCAAATAGCCATCTGACACATTGTAATGTATAAGAATATATAACAGGATTCACGTACGTCATACAAAAAAAAATCGTAAACATACCTACGACCCAAAGGATCCTCACCACGAACATGATGTGGCCCAAGTACTGCGTGCTGATCCATATCATCATCAAGAGGACCACCATCTACCCCATGATATCGCAGTATGACAGGTCTGCCGATATGAATGTGCTCCCATGACCATAGCTGTATGAGCAATAAAAACCCACCCATCTCTCCACCGTCACGATGACAACCTCGACATAACTGCCGATATAGGTATGCTAAAGTGGCACTACCCCAGCTATAAAATGCAGCTACATCAAAAGACTGCAGAATGGGTAAATACAAGACCTGCACCTCATTCCCACTCTTGTCTGCAAACGTGGAAGCTCCCATAAGCATCAGAATGTATGCTCTCGCGTACTGCTGCACAACATCATCATCAGCATCAGCAGGTAAACCAACAAAATGCTCTCTCAACCAAGCCATCCTCAAAGCAGACCCCCGAATATCTGTCCCCGGGTGTGGCCGTACTCCCAACAATCTATGTACCACATCAACCCACAGTCTACATGCAGTCCCAGTAACTGCCCGACCCTGGATCGGTAGACCTGCCAATACAGCCACATCTCCTAATGTGATCGTGACCTCACCCACCGGTAAATGGAATGTGTGAGTCTCCTGTCGCCAACGCTCAAGTAGAGCGGTAAGTAATGCTCTATCTATATGCAAAGTCGAAACTAATCTATGAACACCATAAAACCCGGCTAATCGAACGTAATGAAGAATCCTATCGTCCACCCCCATGTGGAATGTACTGCGTAGGTGCTCACGACACCTATCTACCTGAACATCCAGGCCACACCACACATCCTCGCTCCGGTGCGTGGCCTGCAATGTCAGGACTGAAGGATCAATCGGTCCGGGATCCACTGACACCTGCATCGGCGCTGTAAAAAGTAATAAGTGTATTAGTTATTTCATTTTAATATTAAATTAAAATTATATATTTATTAATATTGCTAATGCATTTGCGAATAAAAGAACAACATTACCCAGTAGAACTCCCTACGTTTCCCTCTGATCTTCTAGCACATGTGGTCCTGTTATGCCCTGTTTGCTTGCAGTTACCGCATCTCACAGTACCTTTAGGACCTTCATCCATTTCATTTCTCAATCGTTTAGCCTTCGGACGACCTTTAGCGCGAATCATCGACGGGTCATGCACAACTCGTGGTCCAGTGTAAGTAGGTCGGTATGCTATATCTGGTATGGGCTTAAATACTCTTTTATAGGAAGCCGCATACTCTGAGGAAGAAAAAAATTTATCAACAAAAGCATCATAGGACAAACTACGGTGTCTGCATACCGCTAATATATGTGAACAAGGAATCTTATAAATATTCAGCTTCTGACATGTGCAATGGCGACGTTGCAAATTCACCGTTTGTTTTCTGCCACCCTTCCCCGTGGTTCGACCACCACGACCCGTCTCTACTTGGTATAAACCATGGCCTATGTCAAATATTGTGACCTTGTGATGCTTTGCCTTTTCCATATTTTTCTCTATCATTTCAGTCACTTGCTGGCAGTAGCGATGCCCTTCTGTTAATCTTCTCTTACTAGTTTCTCTTCTTTCCACAAAATAGGCATTCACACGATAAAATGATAACTCAACTAAGGCGGTTACAGGTAGGTATCGTGCACTCTTCATGACACTATTGAAAACTTCAGCCATGTTTGTTGTTGTGGTGCCATACCTGTACCCCCCGTCGTGGTGTAAAGACCACTTCTCCAAACCAATGTTGGCTAGATATTCTCGTGCTTGTGCCTGCATTTCGCCTATCTTACACTCTGCCACCCATTTGTGTTTGTCAGACTCAACAACTGTGAAAAATTGGTTCCTCTTTACAGAGTATGCTCTAACCATGTTGATCAGTTGTTTCTTATTATCAAACTCTTGCCCAACCTCAAACTCACCATCTACAGAAAAACGACTACAAGTTGTAGAACCCTTCCATGATTCATCATATCCCGCAGGGAGCTCATAAACTTTAGTGTAGTGGCTGGATGGAGCATTGCCACTCACGAGATCACCACCATCTTCATCTGAATCTGTTAGCGCGTCGTGGTTCACATTTTCATCTGCATCATCGTCAGTGCACTGTGAATCTAGAAACGTTGCAGCACTGTTCACATATATTCCATTCTCCTGTGTAACCATATTCATCACAACTGGAACACTTGGGGATGTAAAAGACAATGGCGGGTGGCCAGGTTGTATGGGCAACACCGCCACTTCTTCAACATATATCTCCATGGTATGCATTTCAAGATTCTCGATTACAGTCCACATTCCTGTAACGGCTTCGTCGTCAGCAAGAGGCATCAACATGTATGATCCACCATGCATGGGATATTTAACCTTCAAATCCAACGTCTTCATACGATTGATGGATGTGGCGGTATAAATTTTATTCGTTATTTCAGCCAGATCCACCCCACGGGAAACAACAACTATCTTCTGAAACCCTCCTTCATATTGAACTCCGTTTGACTCCTCGATAATATTTCCTCCCCATTGACAAACAATGGAGAAGTTTCTAGACATATTCTACGAAACAATGTTCCAAAAAAAAGTATGACGTATGCCGTTATTTTAAAATCAACTACAATTACTATAATTGAAACGAAAAGTATTACATCGTAGATACATAGTAAGATTTCATACCATTCAAGTAGGACTAATAATAATTAACTAGTGACAAAAAAATAGAGTAATGAAAAAACAATAAATTAACACATGATTAATTAACACTAGTTAATTAGTTGTAGAAAAGCAAAGTCCGTTAATAAACAATTAAACAACAACAACTGCCAGCAAATCAACAACAATTTTGAGCAAACCAAAAACAATTTCAAACAATTTCGAGCAATAACTAAAAAAACCTAGCTTTACCAAATATGGTGAAACTTGGTATAATTCAAATTTTACAAATTATATAAATTCAATCATTATAACAAGATTAAGAACTTATATATTTCACAACATCAAATACAAAGAAAATAATTAAAAAAACAACTAATTTCGAACACCAAATTAAAAAACTTAGGTTTAGCAAAAATGGTGGAATACCTCTATTCAAACGGTAGAAAGTCGCTAGAATGGAGAACAAACGACCTCGGGTACACCACGACTATTTTCCCTTTGATTTGAGCTTCTTTTGGACGAGAACTGGCAAGAATCGGGGCACCACTCACGGCTGTCGTCGTCGTCCGTCGGTTGCTGCAGAGTGATGTCTGCTTCGTTCGTCGCCTGGGAAGGAGAGGATATGTCTACGAATTAATGAGCCGCCACTTCAAGTGGCGGCTTTTGTATTGCTATTGAAGAGCCGCCAGTCCAATTGGCGGCTTTTGTGAATACAGTTCAAGAACCGCCACTTCAAGTGGCGGCTTTTCTTAACCGTGGTTAACCCAGCAGTATTTTGGGAATTATTCTTAACCCGGCAGTATTTTGGGAATTATTTATTTAATTAACATTATTCCTGGAAAAAACTCTCTTTGTTGCTTCCTGGGAATAATTGTTCTTTTATAGATTTGTGTGCAAACAACTAAATGACAAATTTGGATTTATGAATGTAAACAACATATAGAAACATAAAGAAACAATAAAAAAAATAAGTATTATCAACAAAAAGAAACACAAGGAAACAAAACCGGACAACAAAATAATAATAATAATAATAGCTAAAAAATTAAGTACATTAAAAAATATTGTAAAGACAAAATTCATTTTCAATTTTTTGATTTTTTTTAGTGTTCATTATGTTTTATTTTCGTTTTTTTATTCTCTGAGTATATTTTAATTTTACACACTTTTAGGTTACATTATCTTTTTTTTTTAATTTTATGTTGTCTATTTATATTTTTTTATTATATAAGTTTTAATTTAATCTTTTAGAATTTTTACAAATTTTATATATTTATTTGATATGTTATTATTTATATTATTATATGCATATTTTTCATTTTTAGACATTTTCAAAAAAATTGTGAGTTTTCACATATTTAGTTTGGAGTTGTGTATTTTAAAACATTTAATTGTTTGGCACATCTTTAAGTTTGTAACTATTCACATTATTCTGATCTTTTAATGTTTCGTATGTTTATAATAATTATTGTAAGTTTTTCATTTTACACATTTTAAATATGTATATTTCATTTCTGTAATTTTTACTTGGAATTACTTTTTCAGTTTTATATCTCTTTCACAATTAAAATAATACATTTTATTTGATAATTTTAAATTTTTTTATTAGGTTTACTTAGATTTGTCAATACTTCAATAAAAGGGAAAAGAGAAACGTTATATTTATTATTTCTGAATTGCTTTAGAGTTTTAAAATAAATACTATGCTTTGTTTTGCTACATGGAAATCTGAAGAATCAATTTGAAATCTAGCCTTGTTTTTCAACCTTCTAAGCTACGGCCTAATTTTTAAAATAAATGCTATGCTCTGTAGCAGCCTTGTCTTTTCTTCCGGTAGGCACCAGGCCGTTAGTTATACGTGTGGCTATTTATGAAATCAAAACTTTGACTCGGCTAATTTTGAAAGAAATAATAGCAGATGACAAAAGTGATATTATTTTACATTTTAAGTCTATTCGTGAAATTTTCCCTCAAACGTTTCGGTTTCGGGTCAGACTAAGAATGTTTTTACTTAAATTATTTTTAGTTTCAGATCAAACTTGAAGAGTTATAAAATACATAAAAATCAGATATTTATCAGTTCAAACTATGATGTTTTCTGTTGGACTGTCTTCAGTCCCAGACCAGACCAGACTTGACTTCCGTAGTTATAAACATACAGAGACCAGGCATTTACCAGACCAAACCAAACCAGTTCAGACCAGACCAGATCAGATCAGACATGCAAATTTCAGACCAGACCTTTTAAAATTCTTTTATGTGGTAATAACCCGTTTAGTCCACTTTTATCTTCCACATATCATTTATGTCCCTGTTACTTTTTCTTTTCATTTATAAACTTTTCGGTTTTCAATTTTATTTTTTTATTTCAGTTTTAGATAAGTTTTGTTAATCGCCTTATCGCATATTCTCTCTCCCAGTCTCCTTTCCCGTCTCGCCATATACCCCAATCTCTTATCTTCGTCAACATCGCGACTTGGGGAGGGAAGCTCCCTGTCGGAGAATTCCTTGGAATCAGTCGCAATCCATCTATGGAGTTCTCAACATCGCGACAGGGATACTCCGTGTGTGCGCAATCGAGCTTTCAATCATCCGCACGTCCGACCTTTCACCCGACACCGTCCAGGGCTGCAGCCTTCCCGCGAATGGTGGCCAGTTTCGCAGAGCAGTGAACAGAGACATTCGAATATGCTCGAGGCTGATTCCGGGCAGAAAATTTGGGCAACTCACGAAGGAGCTCGTGAAAAGGTATACAGGCCTTGGCATCAGTTTCCAGGTGTTGATTGCTGGGTCGAAGGCTAGCTACATGGGAGCTGGGGTAGTTCTGTATCAGCTCCAACTTCTCGAACAATAGGTACAAATAAATTTGTTGTTTTAATCGGAGGCAAATCTTTTCGTTTTAATCAGAAGCAAATAAAGTTCGCATTTCTGAAACTAAACAAAGTTATGGTTCCCTCAATCGATATCTTCTTCTGATTTGAATTCAATCTGGAAATTCTAGTTTGCTTGAGGATAACTCCCCACCCCGATATCTAAACACTAGAAACGTTCAACGAACCGATGGTTAATCGTTGATGGTTTCACAAGTAAGTAACTTTGGTTTATTAATGCACGGTCGTAGTTAATAAATTTAAGAGGGATTAATTTTGTTGGTTAAACCGAAACCGTTGTGTTGAGGTTATCAATCTCAATTGATTTCATCAAGAAGTTAAGAGATTAAATGCTACTATCAAGTCGGTATATGGCGGTGTTCTATACTTGACTAATAGTAAGGGTTATTAATGAACGGTCGTTGTTAATAACTACCCTTGATGAATTGGATATACTCCTCGATTGAGTATTCGAGAGGGGATAAGTTATAGATATAACAATGATCGACTAAAATATATCAACAAGTGGAAAGTAGCAATGCCAAGTCCTTTTTATCTTTGAATTAAATCTCATATAAGTCCTTCATCTTAGTATTTAATTAATTAAATCCACACAATCAAAACCCCCGTTATTTACTAGTTTTACTAAAAAGAGAATTATTCTTTTCCCTGTGG